TTCGTCGTCATATTGTAACTATAGCCATGAATATTTGAAATATGTGACGTTTGTCAAAGTTTTCAGATGTGCCTCATATGCTTTATGACTTGAGGTCGGATCGTAATCGTGGAAATTAAAGAGTACAGTAAACACTGTTATTTAAAACTGTACACTATAGCACTGCCAGTGGCGGATCCAGGGGGGGGGGGGGGGGGGGGGGGGTGGCTTCCGGGGGTTGGAACCCCCCTTTTTTTGACGATCAATGCATTTGAATGGGGACATATAGTTGGAACCCCCCTCTTTATCCTGGGTTAGGAACCCCTCCCCCCTTTTATAAATGGCTGGATCCGCCCCTGACTGCTTCCCTCTGCCAGACGTGGATCAAGGATTTTGATAAGGGGGTGCAAACTATGCATAGTTTGAATGGGACATGTAAAAAGTCTAAGCATTGATAAACCATAAATATATATGTTTAGCGCCACAAGCACCCCCCTCGGCTTGCATACAAGAAAAAAAAACTGTCCTCTATTAGCTGCTCTGGTGAAGATTTTTTTAGCTCAGTTGGTCGAGTCTACTAGAGAGGTGCCTTACTGTACGAATTTTTGTGAACTGTCAGGGTGGGGGGGGGGGGGGGGGGGGGGGGCTCTTTTATTTTGTATCTAGTAAGAAAAAAATCTTAGGTAGTAGGCTATATATTTAAATACATGTGTATTTCCTATACAATTCCCATGCTGTAGCAGATACATATATACAAAAAAACCAATCCTAGTCTATCATTGACATAATAATTGATAAATAAAATTCGAACTTGATCTGTAACTTGTCATGATAAAACAATACACCAAAAACCAAATCAATATCTTCAAGCACAAAAGTGTGGAAAACTGATTTGCCAGACTGACGGATGGACAGACAGACAGACGGACGGAGTGCAAACCTAAAGTCCCCTTCGACTGACTTTGACGGTAGGGGACTAATAACCAGGCATTTTGTAATGTCAATATATGATTTAGATAGCTGCGAATTTAGCTCGAACTGAAAATTCTTGCTTTTTTACCTTTTAAATAAATCCTTACATTTACAGTTACCAATAAACCTGACTTCCAAATAACCTTGCATTTTGTAAGATCAATATATGATTGAGAAAGCTGTCGAGTTTTATTAAAATCCAAGTTAATTTGAAAAAAGTTATATAGGGAGCTACCATTTGATTTTTGATTTTTAGGGGGGGGGGGCTAGGATGAAATTTGAAAAAAATAAGCAGGACAGGAGTTTTGAGTAAAAAAAAGGCAGGATGAGACACTTGCAAAAAAAAAAGTCAAGCCACACTTAAAAATATTTTGGTTTGCCCAAACCCTACCCAAAGGTAGAGACAGTAGGTAGGTAGGTAGGCATTTTCTTTTTTTTTATCTAAAGAGTAATTGAAGTGTCAGATGATTTTTAGTCTTCATGCCTATCTGATTAAAAAAAAAACTTTTTCACATCAGGACAATAAAAGATTTTGAGTAGATAGGGTTAGGGCAAACAAACATATTCTTTTTATGGCCTCAGGATGACAATTTAGGTAAAAAAAATCAGGATAAACTTAAAAAAAAGGCAGGGACCGAATAGAGTGAAAAATAAAAAGGCAGGACAGATATTACAACTAAAAAAAAATAAAGGACAAAATTTTTCATCCTAGCCCCCCCCCCCCATAAAAATCAAATGGTAGCTCCCTTAGTCCAAAATGAAATTCTAGCTTTTTTTACCTTTTAATCAAATTTTTAAATTTGAAAGCAATAAACTAAATTATCAATAACCTGTCATTTTTTAAGATCAATATATACTTGACATAGAAGGGCTGCAGAAGTCATATGCAGAATATAGTGGCCCTATTGCTTCAAACTTTCAAAGTGTCTGCAAAATAGACCAAAATCACAAATAATAAATCATGAAAAAGGTCAAGGTCAGAAAAAAATGCCTGTGTTGGACATGTTCACCTTAAAATCATTCCATACACCAAATGTAGAGGCCTTATTGCTAGTTTGAGAAATAGACTTAACCACAACAACTAAAGAATGAACCATGAAAAAGAGGTCAAGGTTCAATAAAAACTGCTAGTCCAAAATGCACATGTACATCTAACAATTATTCTATACACCAAATATAGTTGACCTATTGCTTATAGAATCTGAGATAATACATTTGTAAAGTGAAAATTTCAAATGAGAAAAAAAAGCATAATTTTTAATCAAGCAGTCGCTGAACCATAAAAATTAGGTCAAGGACAATGGACATTTGTTGGACAGAAACTTAGTGACTACACATATAAGGTACACAAAAATGTATCTGTGTACAAGGTATAAAACATCCAGGTCATCTATCTTCTGAAATATCAAACTTTATTCAAATAGTTTATGCTGCTGCACAATTATGCTGATTGTAATCCCTAAGTGTCACATTTTGCAACAATGGTCTCAGGTGACACAAAAACTATTTCATTAAATTCAATCACATTTCATGTGCCTGTACCAAGTATAAACCCTGTTGTATACTTGTAGTACATGTTGCATGGCCTATAATTTTTATTTTCAGAATTGTGTATTAAATGCATATGACAGATCTATATAAAATAGATGTGGTACATTTTTGTACATGCAGTGATGTGATGTACATGTACATGAATGATTATCACAGACACAATGAACAAGATATTTCTGCTGAATTTATTCACTACTTTTATAGACACATTAAAGAGTAGAGCTTGACATATTGCATAGACAATTGCCTTTCCTTCTATTGAAGCCTTATATATACATGTAGGTTTCATTCTAGATGTCATTTAGTTATTTTTTGCTATTTTAGTTGCTGTCGGTCTATAACAAAGCAGGGTTATTATTCACATCACATAAACATATTCTTGTCCTGAATATGCATATTAATTTGCCACTGGACTGTAAGCAGCTATCCATCATCATTAACATATATATAAACGTTTCATGTATAGTATCTCTTCTTGTTCATATGTAAACTTTGACCTACTGCTTTATATACATTGTGTAGAATCTGAGAAATGGAATTAACCACAATATATATTAATTTGCACAAAAAAATAACCTTAATCACTGATGGGTAAAATGAGGTTGGGGTCACATGAACACCGTCTTTTGTTTGATTTTATTTTTACCTAATGTATATACCTTAATTTTTTATTTAGATATCTGTAGACTTATAAGTTGAAACAAGAGTGCACACGCTGAAATGTCTCGCCTACTATACTGACCATTGATTTTATGTTGATAGTCCTACTTATAAAGTTTTACTACAAGTATCACATTAACATTTATGATCCAAGAAAACGAGGTCAAGGTCAGATAAACCAAGGTGGAAATACATGTACACCTTTAATACAATCATTCCATACACAGAATATAGATGACCTATTGCTTGTAGTATAAAACAAACAGACCAAACCATGGAAATTCCATATGGACCAATGAACCATGAAAATGAAGTCAAGGTCAGATGATACCTACCAGACATACATACATGCATACACCTTACAATCATTCCTTACACCAAATATAGTTAACATATTGCTTAAAGTTTAAGAGAAACAGACCAAAACACAAAAGCTTAACATTGAGCAATAAACCGTGAAAATTAGGTCAAGGTCAAATAATACCTGCCAGACTGATATGTACATTGTAAAATATTTCCATACACCAAATATAGTTGACCTACTGCATACAGTATTAGAAAAACAGACCAAAACACAAAAACTAAACTAGTACCACTGAACCATGAAAATGAGGTCAAGGTCAGATGACACCTGCCAGCTGGACATGTACACCTTACAATCATTACATACATGTACGCCAAATATAGTAGACCTATTGCTTATAGTATCTGAGATATGGACTTGACCATGAAAACTTAACCTTATTCACTGATCCATGAAACGAGGTCGAGGTCAAATGAAAACTGTCTGACAGGCATAAGGACCTTGCAAGGTACGCACATACCAAATATAGTTTTCCAATTACTCATAATAAGAGAGAAATTAACATTACAAAAATTCTGAACTTTTTTTTCAAGTAGTCACTGAACCATGAAAATGAGGTCAATGACAATAGACATATGACAGACGGAAACTTCATATCATAAGGCATCTATATACAAAGTATGAAGCATCCAGATCTTCTACCTTCTGCAATATTAAGCTTTTAAGAAGTGAGTTAACGCCGCCGCATCACTATCCCTAATTACACAAAATTTAGATTATTTTTTAACTTTTGTGATAAAATGGTGATATACATGTATGTGCTCAGTTGATACAACATTTTACAATTTTCATGCATCTTGGGACTCGCAAATTTTGAAAATGATGAGTCCAGACTGATTATGATGAGTCCAGGACTCGCCTTAATGAGAACCCGGGGCTCGACAAAAAATTGAGAGACAAGTTGAACCCCGTCTGACAACACATGTAAACCTTTGATCCCATACATGTATACCAAATATCGTATTACTTATAATATGCCACAAATTCACTTGATAAAATCACTACACATGTATGTAGTTTTTTAAGGAGCACTGAACAATGAAAATGGAATAAGGACAATGGACATATGTCTTGACAGAAACTTCTAAACATAAGGATTCCTTATACATTATCATGATTATGATTTTAAGTATGACAAATCCATGATTTCTACCCTCTGAAATATAAAACTTCATATAAATAGTAAATGTTGTTGTCCGATTAGCATTTCATGTCTTGCATGTCTTGTATTCTGAAACTTTTGTCACAGACAGGACATTACTGGAGACCTTGGAGGAATTAAGCCTACTTATACATGTTATAAGCCTCATGGTGATAGTCAGTAATTTATCTGGAGGAAAATGAACAAGGAAGATACAAAAAGTGAAGGTAGTCTTCAGTTCCAGAACAGACATAGTTGTCAGAATTTTTTTTTTTAATTATCTGGTTTATCCGTTCAAATAAAGACAGAAGAAATCTATCTATTACTAAAATATAACTGTTCTGAACTGCATTTTATTTAATAGACGTATAGCACTGTCAACATGTACAATGTACCTGAAAACAACCAAGCAACAATCTTTTAGTTCACAAGTACAACAGCTTGATCCATATGTGATCCAAAATGTGCAGAATGCTATTATGGTGGGAGGTTCAAATTCACTTTATACTTCTCTACTTTGAATATTATATCCTATATCACCTTCATTGATGGTGATCATCATGTCATGTACATGTAGAACTTATTTTTAAACTTCTATAAATGGAAACCAGATTGGTCAAATATGTCTTCATAACGAGTTGAAAATATGGAATGTCTTGGACTAGGTACTGTGGCTTCCAAAGATTTAAAGATTGTCTGATGGTCTTAAATCTGTATTGTATATGACTGTTACATGTATAAATGAAAAAGGCTTTTATATCTTTGCTTTTGTACAGACATCATTGACATTTATATTAGCAAACAATTTGCATTTCCTGGCATATCTATTTGTTTGGCAGCTGAACATTTCCAAATGCATGTTTCATGTTTTTCACATCCTTTTTAGTTTTCTGATGAAAATGCTGTTGCTTCCAGTTGATACAGATTCTATAGCTGAGCCTGTGTCTGGCCATTTCTTTATGTCTAGCATGTGTGTGAATTATTCACAGTGACTCTCAATTTCATTTCCCCAAACTTTCTGTGTCTGATTCCTTTCAATGAAGCTACCGGTATATAGACCAGGGAAGAATGTCTGCTCCTGAAACATGTGAAATATCAATTTAAATATATTTATGGAATATTCTGATTTCAAAACAATGCTGACTCCATTATAAAGCTTATTTAAGATTATTTAACATCCGTTTCAGAGGAACTCATTTAATTTTTTTCTTTAATAATTATTACTAGCTTTTCCAGACTAAAAGATGAAGAAAAAATGTACATGCATGTTTGTTTAGGTTTTCCCTACCTACATGTACATACCCTGTTACTTAATACTAGTGTTTATTCAAACACATTTTAATTGATATGTTCCTCTGGTTAATGACAGAATGTTTTATTAAATAAATGTTACTTACAGATATACATGTAGGTTATCTAAAAGTAAATTTATAAATTGACACTGTGAATCCATTTCTAGGATCCACATCTTCTTATCTTTGAACATTTTTTGGGGAAATAAAAACACTGGCCCTTGAGTAATCCTTTTTGGGATTAGTCCTTGAGGTGTGGATTCCCTAATCAAATTTGTACGTACATGTATTTATTATCAGAATCTGTACACAAATCTTTAAACTTGTATTTCATTTCATTTCACATTTTTTACTTTTTGTTTAGCATCATCATTTCCAGACATTAATCTTATAAGATACCTATTGATTTTGTTTGATGGTTGGTTGTTTTCTGAACAATTTAACATACATGTATGTACTATGTACTATGATAGATACTAGAGATAGCCTCGTCTGTCTTGTTCTATATATTGATCAAGTATATGTATTAGACATGTTGAATTTAAAGATAGAGTATTCTATCAGTCAAGAGCATAATTACTTAATCAAGTCTTCAAAATTATTTATACTAGTAATGTTACAAATGAAAACAAAGCAGTGGCCGACCCAGAAATTTTCTTCATAATGGGGGCCTGTACAGCCATGCTTCAGTGATTCCCTATATAAACAACCAAAAAAGGGGGCCTGAGCCCCCTGAGCTCCCCCTCTAAATCCGCCTCTGCAAAGTTACTCAATCATGTAGTTAAAGCTAAATATTTGAGTATAAAAGACTACAATAAATGGGGAATGTGTCCATAGGACACAGATGATGCCCACTCTTGCAGATCATATAAAGTTATAAAACGACATAACTGAAGAACGGTAAAAGTGATGCTACCCAAATTTGTGCTTGATCTGAGTTTTTTTTGTAATAAGTATTGTGTATAAGTTTCATAACATTTGGTTGAGGCAAACTAAAGTTAGAGAATGGAAACGAAAAATTCAGCAATTATACCATTTGTTCTGGAACGGTTAAAGTAACACTTTTTGCCTCTTTCAACTGATTTTTATAGTTCGTTCTTATATTGTACTGTTACACCACTGTCCCAGGTTAGGGGGAGGGTTGGTATCCTGCTAACATGTTTAACCCTGCCACATTCTGTATGTATGTGCCTGTCCCAAGTCAGGAGCCTGTAATTCAGTGGTTGTCGTTTGTTTATGTGTTACATACTTGTTATTCGTTAGTTTTTTTTGTACATAAATTAGGCCGTTAGTTTTTCTCGTTTGATTGTTTTACATTGTCATTTCAGGGCCTTTTATAGCTGACTGTGCGATATGGGCTTTGCTCATTGTTGAAGGCTGTACGGTGAACTATAGTTGTTAATTTCTGTGTCATTTGGTCTCTTGTGGAGAGTTGTCTCATTGGCAATAATACCACATCTTCTTTTTTATATGTACATAAACAGGATGAAGTTATTTTTCTCACAAAGCATTAAACTAATATTTAATGAACACTGATGAAACACTGATTGCCATTCTGACCCACTGTAGCCGAGTCCAAGAATAGTGAACAATTAATTTCTTTCTTGGCAGAAAATTTCACCTAACAATTATCTGGAGCACCTCATGATATCAACATGTATCAGTGTGTGACAGAAGTAAAAAAAGTATGCTGATATTAAAACTTCTTCTGCATGTGCTGGCATAAGTATACATGTATATCTTTGCAAGTACACAGTAGAATGTCATTAATAAGATGACATTATGATTTATATACTATTACCAATGAATTTAGATTTATCTGATCCCATATCTTCATTGACTTTGTAAATTAATAATTATAATTTTTTGGTAGGAGAATTAGGAGAATGAAGACTTGCAATGTATTTTCTGGGATATAGTCATGTTTTTTTAAAGTACACTGTGAATCCTCCACAAAGATTTTTTTTAATAAACACTCGAGAAGTTGCCCAATGATAGAAAAATGTCAACCTTTAATACTCTATTTTCGAGAATTTACCTTTGAATGCAGACTTGATTATCGGGTAGCAGATATCTGGTATGTAAACTCTTTCCATAGCCCGTTTGAAGCATGTTGGAAGCCTGACCATGCAATCTTTGATTTCCAAAATTTGTCTCTTCTCAAATTTCAATTCTTTCACTTTGTACTAAGGCAAAATTTCAGTTAATGCATTTTCTATGTTGTTTTTCCCAGGGGAAATCATAGAGAGGGGAGCCTAACTCGCTTCAGATGATACTCAGATAATGGCGGATTTATTTCGGAAATATCTAGATTTTACATAATAAATAAACATAAAGTCCGAACATACCGATAAATTATCCTGCTAATTCGATTGGCTTAAAGTTTTTTGGTGTTTTTATTTCGATAAGTGTATGAACCCTTGACCGGTTATTTGGGGTCTTCTTTTACAGTTTCAAAATAGGATAACAAATCATTGTCACGTGCTCGTGTGTGTTAAAGCACACGAATGCACTCCATAAAAGTGTTTTCTGCGTGTATTATAAAAATATGAAAATGATGGGGGGGGGGGGGGGGGGGGGGGGGGGGGGGAGTCTAATTGAAAATATTTCAGACTTCGAAATTACTTTCTCAAAAAAAGGCAGATTGTTTGTCTGTTCTTAATATTTCTTGAATTAATGTCTTTTCTTCCCCTGACGATATCTAAAAACAAATTTAAGGAGGGGGGGGGGGGGTTAAATGTTTGATTCTAAATGTCTTTACAATCGTAAAATTTTCTTCAACGCGGATGAATCAATATTCAGCCAGAAATTTACATAAAATGTTTGTTTTTTTTTTTTATTTAAACTAATTTTCACCTGAGGAAAAAAAAGTGTCGGTGCTTTTACATAATTTTGATTTCGGGTACCAGGTAACACTGCATCCTCGTGTAAGCATTAATTTGATGAAAATCTTACAATTTTTGAAGATTTTTAAATTACAAAAATGTCAATGTCCTGTTTTTAATTATAGATATCAATAATACTGCATTGGAAAGCCCTTGAAACTTGAAAATGATCCTCCGCCTCCATTAAAAACAATGACTAAAGAATGTGATTTGGTGCAAGTCGTCCAAATATGTTGGATATTAAAAAAGGGACTCCGTGTAGTGGTATTATAATATACTCATTGAAAGCTCTGAGAGTCTCATTAAATTATAGCCTCAGATAATAGCTAGCACTAGCTGCAATATTATCAAGTCAAAACTTCTTTTTTTTTTACCACATTATTCACATCTTTCCGTATTTATTCTCTGTTCTTTTTAATTCACTAAATTGACAATTTAACAACTAGACGATTCCACAATGTATATAAATAATGCGAGTATAAAATACAGTGGTTGGATTTAATCGAAATTTCGTATTTCAATCATATTATCATCCTGCCCTTAAAACCTGTCCAATGTTTTTTAGAGAAGAACCTCTCATACATAGTGTTCATGCAAGTTGGCTTCTTTATCTTCAGCATTGTTCACTGAATCAGCATAGGCGGATCTAGGCCCCCTTTAGAGGGACAAATTTGGTTGGTTATATCATCAGTAGGGAATCACTGATCCATGACTGTAACGGACCCCCTAATAAAAACTTCTGGGTCCGCCACTAGCTGGAATGGCTAATTGTTATGCACAAACTTTGAGGAAAATATAAATATTTGGCAAGGATGCCACTTTTTCATTAGGAAGTATCCAATATTTCGTCAGTGAAACAAATCTGGAAAAGGGTTGAATCATCATTATCAGAGACATATATATACATGTATATATATATGTGTGTCTCTTGTTGAATAATTTGTATATTTATAAAATCTGTATTGCAGATCTTTGATGAAAAAAAATAACCTTTTTAATTAATGACGATTTGAAGCTTGACATAAGAAACAGGTAGGCACCGTTTATAAAATATTTTTCTTTAATACCTATAGATTTAGATTGTATGCCTTTTGGGAGTTTTAAAATATATGTACCCTTATTTGCTAACATCAAGAACAGAGCTCTCCATGGAAGTAAGTATCTATATAGACGCTGGTGTTACTCCAAAAAATGTTATCGTTCGCTGCCGACGAAACACCTTTCAATATCGTGAATATTTTTTAAACAATACGGATACAGGAATTAGCTAGGAGTTTCCAATTTACTTGGATACCAAAAATTCACTCCCACGTCCATGCATTCAAGTAGAGGATAACTTAAAAACTCATAGGCGTGTTTAACGTTTTGTTTTTGTATTTCATCCAAAGATGCAGACACTCGAATTTTCATTTGGTCTCTGGTGAGAGTTGTCTTTTTCATGATTGGCGATCATACCACATATTTTTATTTATTATAAGGGTGACATTTCTGTGTGTCAACTAATTGTTCTTAATTAAATGTTAAGCTGTTACACCGTCACAGGTTACAGGAGAATTTAGCACTTACAGTATGTGTAAGCCCACCACATTCTCATACTGTATGACCTTGTTCTAAGTAAGTAGTGGGAAACTCTGTGGTTGTTGTTGGTTGCTTTTTGTCATATTAACTTTTGTTTGATACTTGCATTTATAAATGTGTGAGGATCCTGATTTTACACCAACAAACTACACTACTTATAAAAACACCAAAATGTACAATGCGACAGGGATAAACCAGTTTTATCTGCATACAAACGGTATCCTTTGCCTTTCCTAGGACCATGTATCTTAAAGTAAATCAAACAAGTAAAACTGTGAGCTACTGCTCGCTGATGATACCCCCACCGATATATTTCGGTAAACAGGAAGTTGTTGAGTGATGAATCTGAAAACGCATCACACGGTGTAACTTGCTTATATAAACCCTGAAACTAAATTTCAGAAATCCTTGTCAAGTAGTTCCTGAGAAAAATGTGACGAAAATATTCATGGGACGGACGGACTGACAGATGGACTGACGGAAGGACAGACAGAGGTAAAACAGTATACCCACACTTTTTTAAAGCGGGGTATAACAACAACAATAAAATGCTACGCTGAGCGCAGCTGGATACGACCGCAGAGGTCCAACCCTGAACTGTTGGGGAAAAATGGACTCAATATTCGCGCTTGATACAGGTCTGAATTTGGATTGTAAATAAATATTTGACACCTAATAGGTTTCTGACAGCGAATAACTGTAGTCAAAGAACTCAGAATTGGTTATATGATTTGAATTTATATTCAATTTTTTGCTTTTGTGCAATACACTATGCTGCGAAATTGAACCCCCCAAAAAAATTTTTTACCCCCCCCCCCTTTTTTTGGCAAAAAGAAATAATATTTGAAGAAATTTTCTTTTTAATTTCTGAAATCTGAAATGAAAAAAAATATTGCCCCCACAATTTCTTTTTTACCCCTCCCCCCTTTTCCAAAAAAAAATATTTCCCTCAACATATGGTCATAATCTCAATTCAAATTTCCAATGGAGGTTGCAACCATAATTACTAATTTTAATACATCATATAAGTCTTAAAATAGAAAAAAAAATCCCCTCCCCAAATTTTTTGAACCCCCTTATGATCCATCACCCCCAACTCAATTCCAGCCTTCCCTATGTGGAATGGTACCTTGCAGTACAATTTCAGAGAGATCCATACACTTGAACACAAGTTATTGTCTGGAAACTAGGAAAATGCTTGTTTTTTGCCCCTTTTTTGGCGCCTAATTTCTAAAATTTTGAGTCAATTACACCCAAAATCAATCCAAACATTCCCTTTGTGGTATGGAACCTTGTGGTACAATGTCAGAGAGATCCATACACTAACACACAAGTTATTGTCTGGAAGTTACAAAAATGCATATTTTTGGCCCCTAATTCCTTAACTGCTGGTATCATAACCCCCAAAATCAATCCCAACCTTCCTTTTGTGGTATTGAACCTTATGGTAAAATTTCATAGAGATCCATTCACTCAAACTAAAGTTATTGTGCTAAAACCAATGTATCTTCGGACGACAACGACGCCAACATCATACCAATATATGACCGTAAAAATTTGTTGTGGTCGTATAAAAACTTCCAGCACTGGATACATTAACCAATATCTCAGGACCACCAAATTGAACAAAATTATAAAAGATTGCAAATAATTTGGAAAGAGGGTTTAAAAAATATTAGTCTAATTGGAGCGTGGTAATGTAGCTATTTATAGCTACTTACTAAAAAGTGTGAATAGAAAAAGAAAATAAAGTGTCTTTATTTACACTTATATCCATTTATCTCTCATACAATGATTATTTTTGTTGTTGTGTAAATAATTGAACATCTTTATAAAACACACTGTTTATTTATTTCCCTCTTTAGAACAAAATCTGCTTCAAACTAATCAATATGTAGATCACAATTGTAACCTTCATCTTCACCAGTTTTCCATCCTAACCTGAAATTATAATGTTATACATTTAGTGAAAAACAAAAGCATTTCAACCAAAAAATTTGAATTGAAATAATCAATGATTGTGTGTTCTTAAAAAGTGGCAGCCCTGTCAGTCTGGACCCCAAAAATCAAGAAGGTCAATGATGTTGTAGTCCTGATTGCAAACTATTAAACAGGTTGTGGTTGTTTTATTCTCTTATTTTAAACTGTCTGGTATTTTATATTGGTATACATGTAGCTGCTCAGTGGCAGATCCAGAACTTTTTGTAAGGGTGGCCCGCTGACTGACCTAAGAAATTTTTTCCCACAAAAGGGGGGGGGGGTCAATCTTAATTACACCTACATGTACGAAAGTATGAAAAATCTGCAAATACATGACTGAATTTCACTGAGACCACACAATTTGTAGTCTGTGTTGTAAAAATGGTCAATAGCTGTAGGCTATAAAAAATATTTTGAGAACTTGGCAATGTTAATTATAGACAATAATATTTTAATGTTTGTTTATGTACATGTGCACTTGTTTGTATTCTTAAATCTTTTAACTTCCAATTCATTTGAGACAGAGTTACATTTGTAAGTCAATAACAGGAAGAAGAAAGAATATTTTCCATGAAATATTACATGCAACTTTTCTCACAAGTAAAAATAACTATTTGAGTATAACTTTAATATCTTACCTTCTTCATTCATTTTTGTACATATAGTTGATGAAAAGTAATTCGTTACAACACTACAACATGTACAACGTTTTAAAGAACACTATACTCTATAGTAACTGTTTTCACAGTCTGTATGAAAAATTGCAAAAGCAGCTAGGATGTTGGATTCCATGTATTTCCATTGACTGAAATTATATGAAGACATAATATGAAATTCAATATGAACATAACTAGTACTGGATCATTCAAAGCAAAAATAAAATATTGTAGGCTAGCTAAAGGACACATATCTAGAGTGATATAATTTCATGAATGATGGATATTGTTTTGCAATGGTAAATCATTATATGCAAATACAGATATAAAAAAAACCAACACTATATATTAACTAGTTTATAGTTATACCATAGTGAGACTTTTTTACTTTCAATTAGAAATGTTAATTCCACATATTTTACATGATGGTGAACAAGATATATGCTTACTCTTCTTAGATCAAACTCATACAGTTTATCTAAATGGTTCTATCAAAGATATAGATATAAATATGGCTATCATATTATGGATATAATATGGATATGGCTATTATATTATAGAGCTACGGTTCCGCAGATAATTATAACTTATTAAATGATTCTATGTAGTGTTTCAAAAATTTGTTTGTCTTTACATCATTCATTTGTCTTTTTTGTCTTATTGTGTTGTAGATTTTGTTTGACTTAGGTTTTACATGTCCTTTCGATGTCTTCTAGGTGTTTCTTTTTTCTACTATATTGTTTTCAATATATTAATAAGTTAATAAAATTTACATGTATTTAAACAATATCACTGTTGAGTCTACTATTTAAATAAAATTTAAAGACAAACATACATGTACAGACCCTTGATACAAGATGTATGTAGTTTATTATTTACATGTAAAATCATGTCATTTTTCCTAATGTAGTAATTAAACAGATATATTGAAATATTCATACCATACAATTCCTACACGTTTTCAATGATACATCATGTGTTGAAGTACACAAACAACTGGTTATATTATGGTCGCTCATTTGAATAACAATGAAGAGGCATAACATGTGCGTCAAAATGCATAATTTGCACCCGATCTGCAATGATGTTGTCATATAAACATTCGAAAACCTATTAAAGTTTTATCGGACCTTAAGTTTTAAGAAATATCTTATCCAAAAAGGAACAATTGTCAAAAATTCATAAAACCAAGACTTGGTTTTACCAGACATGTGTTTTCGCATCATTTTTAGAAACATTGCAGTTTTTCTCAAGAACCTAAGAAATTTCAATTATCAAAATATGATAACATCAAAATTTTCAACTCAGAGTACCATAAACACTAATCAAATATTAAATTGGGTTGCTCGATTTTCTAAATTCAGACTTTCAAATTGACCACTTACCTCTTTGACTATGACCGGTTTTTTCCAATATGGCGTCTATCCGGAAGTTAGGTAGGCCTGTTTTTCCATTTCTACGTCGCCATCTTCAACATGTTCCTAGGTCGCGTTTATAAGGAGCATTCTGATTGGTCGATATAAATACTTTCTGGGGTCAAATATTACGTTATATAAGGTCACAAAAGTGAAACCTTGTAGGGTACTTGTTAGATCTTCGTATGTAGTATAACGTAGTATAACGAAATCCGAGATCTATATTTTAATTAGATTGTTTTTAATTTACATTAATGATTTTCCAGAATACCTTGAACACAGCAAATTACGACTCTTCGCTGATGATAGCATTATATACAGAGAAATTACATGTCAACAAGACTGCATAAAACTACAAACAGATCTTAATGCAGCAGCTAAATGGGAGGCTGATTGGCTCATGGCCTTCCATCCAGGAAAATGCACAATTCTAACCATCACACAGAAAAAGAAACCATTCAAACACGATTACATTCTGCATAACCATATTTTAGAACCAGTAACATCAGCAAAATATCTCGGCGTAACCTTACAGTCTAACTTAAAATGGAACAATCACTACGACAACATCATATCAAATGCAAATAAATCTCTTGGCTTTCTGAGGAGAAACTTAAAAGTATCAAACACCAATATCAAATCCCGTGCAAACCAATCCATAGTGAGACCAAAACTTGAATATGCCTGTAGTTTATGGGATCCGCACACAGCAGAATATAAAAATAAGCTAGAAATGGTACAGAGGCGTGCAGCCCGTTATGTATGTAACAACTACCACAACACCAGTAGTGTTACATCCATGTTAAACGAACTACAATGGCCCTCACTCACTGAGCGTCGCCTCAAAACCAGACTAATCATGTTCTATAAAGTCATACATGGACTCATCGCAATTCCATCGCTAGTCCTTATACCATCAGATACTAGAACAAGAAAATTACATACCCAAACATTTCGACAAATATCCACCTCTAAAGACAGTTACAACTTGAATGGTCATTTTTTCCGCAAACAATCATCCAATGGAACATGTTACCACAAGTTGTAGTAGCATGTCAAAAAATTGAAACCTATAGAGATCAGTTGACACCAACTGTTCTCCACAACATAGATTAATTCTATAAATACCAATGTACATATTTTTTAATCACTTGTTGTCTTTGTTTCATGTAAATATCACCAAGTATTCTACAAATCTAAAGATAAATTTTTGTTCATATACAAATTTTAATCACATACTCCGCGCATGCAACAGTTCGTAATCTTCAATATAAATGAAGCTGTAACTGTATACCAGAAGAAGAAGAAGAAGATATATAAATCGTCCCAGCCTAGAGTTTGAAAAAAATGTTTGTCCTTAGAAAAATATCCAACCACCCCCCAAAAATACATAAATTGTCGTTATCTGAATAGTTTTGTCAGAGACATATGTATTATATGTCTCTGGTTTTGTTAAACTATAACGAGCTTTACCGGAGGTGTTGGGCTATATGGCGAGGGTGGTAAAGGGGGGTGCTTGCACGGAAAAAACGTGAAATAAGACATAATTTCACGTTGAACGTGAAATAATTTCTGTCATGAACGTTGCACGAAAATAAAGACTGTTGTGAACCTTTTGTGACTGAGTCACTGTCTTCTTGTATATATAAACTCTCTGTTTTACTTGTTATTCCCGATTTAGTATACACATTTATGATGTAAATGGTTTACGGCTTTTAAAAAGTATTTCTTGACGATCCCTGCCAAGTATTTGAATTTTATTTGAAAAATACCGAGCACGCAAAATAAGCATTTGAAAATCACGATGCACGTAAAATTAAATAAGCAGAACACGTTGAACGAGGCACCTGTCTTGCACGACTGAACGTTAAATAAAAAAGTAAAAACACGTTGAACGTGAAATAAAAAACGGCGATCACGTTGCACGAAAATAACCCTTTACCACCCTCTATGGCTTTTATTAATCTAGTGAGAAATAAACTGCAGCACACTTTGAAAAGAAATCGATTTTGTGCAGTGATTTTTACTGTACATGCTTTTTAAAGATCCAGATGTTGCAAGCAAAATCGATCAGATGGTCTGAGTCATTTTCGCGCATGATCTTCTGTAAAGTTGACGTGAGGACTGGTGTCTGGATACAAAAATGGAAAGAAAGATTACTTATCCACTCTGACAGGTTTAAAAATGGTAAATGTATACTCATTACCCAAGAGCAAAATGTCAATTTTATGCAAAGTTATTTAGCTTCTTTTTATATTCTCTAAATGAGAGACAAAAAAGGGGGAGGGATAAAATATTGCCAGTGGCAAATATTTCATTCATGTTGTGGAAATTTATGGTTATTTTTAATCTAGCGGAGAACTTATGAATAGATATAAGATATAAAATGAATATTAAATGCCTGGATCACTGTATAATTCAATATAGATATAAGATTTGGGTTATTAGTTCAACTGTTGTCCAGAGCTTTAGCCTACACATCTCTATAAACTCAACAGCGTCCATCCACAGATCTGTTTCTCAGAAACTAGTAGCCATACAGTAATATTATTTAGTTGGCAGAGACTGTCAGACCATGCATGTAACACTTATGTGGACTGATGAAATGAAGGGTCACAATTAGCTATATTTCATGGTTAAGTTTCTTTGATACTTTTTTTTTAATTTAACTTTAATTGAGATTAATAACATCTAGTTTTGTTCAGAGATACTAAGTGACCTACAATCAATTTTGCAAGGATGCATATAAGGAGTCTGACAGCCTCCCATTTAAAGTAGGTCATGTTGTCTTTATTGACTGTTTTACATACAGGTTTTGATCTCAGTGACTTATGACTTATAGATAGACCTGGATGAAAGGCTGCATCTTGGGGGAGCAAACCAGGCTTCAGTAAAAAGTAGATCACCCTGACCTGTATTTTATGCTCCATGCACTTTGACTTAGTTTTACATTTGATTTTTTTCAGATAGTAACAATCTATAAAAAAAATCGTTGAGTAAGAATGTAGTACTGTATGAGAGTATATTTCATAGGGTTAAGGATCAAAGTTCATTTCTCAGATACTTAATTAATGTCAGATCACATTTTGGTCTTTTTCTCACTGAAATGAAATTCCATTTGTATAATACACTTGTATATACATTTTTTTTAAATTTTATTACATCATGTTTATCAAGCCAAATTGGAAACAGAGCAAACTGTTTTGACTTGTATTGACTGAATACTTACCTGAACAAAGGTCTGATAAAAAAAAATCTCTGACATGAAGAAACAATGTGCACTGTGTTGTGAAAGGATAGAGGTGTTCTATTATCTATAAGTTTTTGAACTTCATCTATGCAGAACTTATTTACTTATCAGTGTGTTGGTCTGCTAGTTCTAAGTATGGACTCTTCATATTCCAGTTATCATGTTATCATCTTATTCTTAATATATGTATGTAATATTTGCTGCTGATCATATTGTAATATAAATGTTTTTCTGAGATCAACTTACCAAAATGGTCAGTTTGATATCTTGCCATTCCATTAGTTTTCATTGTTTGTTGTCAGTGTCCACCATACTACTTGAATTTTAAATATATCTTCTTCTAAGAAACTACAAAATCAATTGATAACTTGCTTAGTCACAATATTTTCCCATTGATGTTTTTTTTCAAAATTAGTTAATATGTAGTGACTTTTCAGATAATTTGCATACCTGCAAATATGTCCAATTTTTCTATAATTGTTACATAGATTCAAACACCAACTGTTGATTATTTTCTCTGCAGTTATCCCACTGCCATCCCATTCTTATGAAAAAATATTTATACAAATTCATTGTGACTTGCTATTTTTACAATCAGAGTTATACCCCTTTGAACATTATTTTCATATTATTAAGATTTTTATGAAAAATATTTGGAAGCTAGAACTAACAAATTAAGCAATATTTGTTTTAAGTGAAATTGAATCTAATTGTTAAGATTTTGTAGAATTAATGATAAAATAGTTTGTCTGTCTGTAATACTACCTAAGACCATTGACCTGAAAGCTTTAGTACCTAGTAGGACTCGCTTGGACTGCTTGCCCTCATGTAGAGTCAACCAGTTTGATTGATCAATTTTTAGATGAATAAATTATGGGACGTTGACTTATGCATATTGACACTTTATTGAATGCAGCTCATCTGATACCATATAGTAGATAGCTTTAACAGTTAATAGAATTGTTCCTCATAACTATGTTGACCATATGGCACAATTTTATTCTAACAATATTTTGGGAAGTTATGCGACCATTTTTGGCCTATTTCAATATAATGACACATTTGTAATCATTACTCCTTTGAAACAGTTTTACCCAAACTGTTACATACTTTGTAGGATTGTTTTAATCCTTTTTGCCTATTTTAGGTTTGTAGCATAATGAAGGTTTTGAATTATTTGTTTTCTCCTATACCTTGAAAATGTCTGACATTTTGATAATTTCAAGGCAAAATCTAGTAGAAGCCAATATTTTCACAACAGTCCCCAAATATCATACTTACAGGAAATGGCAACATTAGGGGAAAATCACAAATAGGAAATGGCAACATTAGGGGAAAATTACAAACAGGAAATGGTAACATTAAGGGAAAATTACAAACAGGAAATGGCAACATTAGAGGAAATTTACAAGCAGGAAATTGTAACAGAAATGTCAACATTAGGGGAAAATTACAAACATGAAATGGCAACATTAGGGGAAAATTACAAACAGGAAATGGTAACAGAAATGTCAACATTAGGGGAAAATTACAAACAGGAAATGGTAATAGAAATGTCACCATTAGGAGAAAATTACAAACACAAAATGGCAACATTAGGGGAAAATTACACAGGAAATGGCAACATTAGGGGAAAATTACAAACAGGAAATGGCAACATTAGGGGAAATTTACAAACAGGAAATGGCAACATTAGGGGAAAATTACAAACACGAAATGGTAACATTAGGGGAAAATTACAAAACTCTGCAGCTACAAACATTGATAATGTAATGTGTGAAGGTCCTGTTCTGTGGTCTACCTCTGAGACTTATCATAACAATTTAGTACAATTTACAGGGGACATTTTGTTGTGGAGTAGCAATCATGTTTAGTATTGTTTTACTACAGCTGTTTTGTTTGTGACAATGCTATTTATTGATTCAATAACTTTTACTGAACTGATAATTTATGTGTATTTTCCTGTGTACCTTTGGTAAAAAG